GTCGTTCACCATCATGTATATATCAACCATCATATCAAATGTATTTATGTCGAAATACAACTGATTATCGAATGTTAATTATTGAAAGTATGGATCCTGATACAGAAACACGACGTCTTTCACCAGTTGCTGTTATGTCTGATAATGGTTTTATTGATTTAATTAATGGTCCACAAGATCATGGTTGGTGTAATGGTTATACATGTCAAAAACGTATATCAACATTTATGGCAATAGTTGAATCAGGACATCATTATGATATATATTTAGCAAGTACAACACCAAATCATATACGTTTTCGATTACTTAATGCTGATTCATCAATAAAAACATCATTATCTCTTTATTATGATTCATTACAACAAATTGATGTTTATGCTAATAATCTTTATGTATCACCAACGAATCGTGCACAAAATTTCTCATATTTATTATTACTTGATCAATCCAATGGTGTAACATTTTCCTTACCAGCTGGTTCAAACTTTTTTAACAGGTAATGCAGATCTTCAATGATATATATATATTTATTTATTTATTTATTTGTTTAATATAGAACAACACAAATGGCATCATTTATAATTGATGGTGCTACTGTTATTGATTTGAAGATATCAGAATTAATTGTACTAACATTTGGTTTACCACCTACAACACCATCAGCATTCTTTACAACTAATATAGTTGCTAATTTAGCTGCTCTACTTGGTGTTACTATTGATAAAATTCGACGTGTTAATATTATTTCTGCAAATAATGATACGTATGTATTTCTATATTATTGATTTTTTTAAAAATTTTTGTTGATTTATTTTCTTTCTTCTTTATTAGTCGTCTCGTTCGTCGATCATTAGTTCTCTTATCATCGATTAGATTATGTGTTGAAATACGTAATGATCCACCAGCAACTTTATCTTCTAATAATCAAGCATCATCTACACAAATTTCAAATATTAATTCTCGTATTATTAATCTTTATAGTGCAGGTGAATTACAAACAGCATGGGCAGCTGATCCAGTTTTAAGTGTTACAAGTCTAATAAGTTTAGATGTTCAAGAACCAGGAAATCAAACAACAGTATCATTAAATGTGTTATATCGATTAGTATTAGTAACTCCACCATCATCATGTTGTGCACAATGCGCATGTCATGTTCAACCAGTACTTGTTGCTTATGATTCTTCGGGTAATATTATAGATAAATTAGGTTCAAATGATGAACCATGGCAAGTTGTTGCTAGTGTCGTTGGATCATCAGGTGTAAGTACTATTGGTGCTATTGCTAATTATACAAATGGACAAACACAATATACATTATTTGGTGTAACAGCAACTGGTTCATATCAAATTCAGTTTGCTTTTCTTACACCACGTGGCATTAGCAGGTAAATAAAATAAAACAAAAATATTTTCTTTCTTTCTTTGTTTTTTTTTATTTTATTAGAAAATTGATTTTCTTTATTCATTTTGTGGTTGTTTTCTTTTTTAGTTCATTTGTTACAAATGCTAATTTAATAGTTGGTTCATCAGGAGTATCAGTTTCAAATCCTACATTAGCTGCTAGACAATATGAAAATGTTGATGTTATTTCAAAGAATGAAACATTTAATATGTCAGTTGTAATTGTTGATAAAATATCGAACATTAAAATTGCAAATATTCAATGGAGTACTTTTACATGGTCAGCCGTAGTTTCACTTTATACTTCATTAGATTTTCAAGCCACTGGTTCATTAATAACAATTCCATCATCAAGAATTATTGTTGATACAACAGCAGGTACAATAACGGCTACAGATTTGGCAATTAGTGCAGTTGGAATGTACATTATTCAACTTCAAATAACATCATCAGATGGTGTATATTCAATTCCATTTACTTCAAATGCTATTTTAGTTAAAGAAAATTCAAGTAAAGTCTATTTTCTTGTTTTGTTTTGTTTTGATTAAAAAAATTATTTAAATTATATATATTATTTTATATTCTATAGCTACGCTTGAAACTTATACTGGTTTTCCACCAGCAACTGTAACTTATTCTGGTGATTATGATTCATTTGTAGCAAGTGGTACAATCGAAATTTTACGATGTAGGATCTATAATTATTACGTTGTGATCATTAAATTACCTGTTACTAGTAATATTGTCCTAACGAAAGGTTTGTTCTATAAAAAATTTATAATATCTTTCTTGAGTTTTAATTAATGCATTGAAATTTCTAGGTAGTGTTCAAGTTGGTTTAGTTCTATCTGGCAGTACTTTGGGTGCAGCTCAGAGTTCGTCCATAGGTGTTAGTACAATGCTAGCAAATCAGAATGCTATGTCTGGTGTAACACTTACTGGGATAAGTACTGGTACACGATCATATAGTGCTTCATCAGGTTCAAGTTCAAGTTCAAGTTCAGGTTCAGGTTCAGATTCAAGTAACGATGGAGGAAGTAATATAGGATTAATTGTTGGTCTTGTTGTGGGCCTTGTTGGTGGTGCTATTGTTATTGCTGGTTCAGTTTTTGGTTATTATCAATATCAACAGAAAATCAAAGGTCAACGTCTTGTAAATGATGTTGATGAAGTAATTTCATATCCAAATCAATCAGAACAAAATAATGAAAATACAGCAAGTTCATCAAAATCAATAAATAATGGTTCTAATCTAACGCGACGTACATCTGTTACATCACCACCTTTATCAAATTTTAATAATAATAGAGTTCATTCACCATTATTAAATGATACAAATGGACAACGAGTTCCATCAGCTGCAATTAGTATTACTATGCTTGGTAACATGACACCAAATAATGAACAAGTCGCATGTAAATCAATGCCAGCTGTCGAACTTATCAAATTTGATTAGACTGAACATTACTTATCTCTTTTTTTTCCTTCTTAATCAACAATCAAATACAAAAACAATCTGTTTCCTCTTACATTCATTTTAGTTTTCCCTGACATCATTTTTTCTATTTTTATGTAGCTTCAAAATATACTTACAGTTAATTCTTTTTAAATAGATCATAAAATACATTTTTTGTTTAAAGTCGAAATAAATCGAACCCAACGAATGTACTGAGTTCAGAATAGACTACTACCAGTATATCATAGGTGCTTGTAGGTACTGCAGTACCTTGGATAACTGTATGCATATTTAGCAGGTGACTGCAAAATGTTTATAAATGTTCAATCTACTGACTTGATGAACATGTTTTTATGGAATACTATAGAAAATGCTTAAGTACCTGACAAATATTCATATGTTGAGACAAATCTCACCAGAGTACCCTGCTAACAACTTATCCAATTCTCCCTCCTTCCCCCCAAAAAAATTTCTTTTTCTATTTGCTCGCTCTTCTCTATTATATTGATTATAATATCTTCATTTACATATTCATAGATAGAGCATGAGTTAAACTGTACATATATATATATATATTCAGCGCATTTTACTAGGTTATTGTTTCAAATTTATCCGACATATACAAAAATGTCTTATTTTCGTTATATTCTCTGTTGGACAAAACAAGTTCGTTTTTTTCTGATTCATTTTTTCTTCAGCTAATATGCTTGTTGCACTTTTTGTTTTCAAAATGGACAAAATTCTGAGCCACTAATTTTTTGGTACATGATGAATTCTTTTCTCTTATGCCATCAATTAATGAATCATTCTTTTTAACTTTATATCATTGTTTGGTAATCAATTATGGCTTTCGATAAAACTCTTTAACCAAAATAATAAAAAAAAAGGAATTGATCATGTGCCAAAAGATGATCTTGTTCGCAGCGTTAAAAATTAGTCGCACAGAATTTCCGCCATTTTAAGCAAAAAAAAACACAATTATAGATTGAGCAATTCTTTGTAAATTGTAGAGCTTCTCACGTTGCACTTTGTGGTATATTTTGTTTTCTTTTTAGTATAGCATATCAAGTGATAACAAAATGAAATAAGAAAAAAAAACGAATTTCGTCATGTACCAAAAAATTCTTTTTTTCGAAGTGTCAAAAATTAGTGGCTCAGGATTTTGTCCATTTTGAAAACAAAAAGTGCAATTATCAAATAAACTGTCCTTTGTAGATTGTAGAGCTTTTCATGCTGCATTTTGTGGTATATTTTGTTTTTTTTGACACAGCGTATTAGATGATGAAAAAATGAATCATAAAAAGAAACTTTTTTTTGTCCGAAGAAGAATACACAAGTACCTTGAACTCAACACATTTATTAGAGAAGACAAGCGTTTAAAAGATTTGTAAGAAAGAGACTCTCTCTCTATATATTTATATATATTGACCAATCATAATCAAACGAGTTAGTTTATTTAGTTGTGAAAGATGTGCTTAGCAATTATTTCATATCAAACAATTCATCATATGAAAATTAGTTATTGTAATGATTACAATATCTTTTCTTTGATTCTTTGTTCGATAATTTGTTGTTTTTCAATGTAAGATACGCGATCAAAATATCTAATATAAATGTAATTATCATATTTATGTTTTATTCAATTGATATTTTAATAAAAATAGATAGAAAGATGTTGACGTTTTAATTATTAATACAATGTTTTGCTTTGTTTGTTAATATACAAATTATGATTTATTTTTATATTCTAATCGATCGTCGAAAGCAACTCATAAATTTATTGAAATATTGTTGTTTGTTTGATTGTAGTGGTAAATTAGTTATTTGTTGACTACAGAACTTTCTTTTTTTCCTTATTGTAGATTGAAGTAATTGTTTGTTTTTTTGTTCTTTTTTAGTTTTTAGAAATAGTAGTGAATCATTCCCAACACTTGTTGCACTAGTACTTCGTTGTCGTTCTGTATTTATTGAAACAGAATTAGCTCTTGATATATATTTTTTGTTATTATCTAATATATTTATCGTTTTATTTTTTCCTTCAGCACTTTTTGGTCCTTCAATTATGTTCATTAGAGAAATATCATCTAAACAAATAGTCAACATGAATGAAATATATTGTTTTGAAAGATTTATTAGATGATTTTATTTCAAAAGTTTACCGTTTATTTGATTAAGAAAACTTCTGGAAGGAGATGTTTGATATTTAGAATAATTATCAAAATTGAAATTATTTGGAGTTTTATCGATTGAAAGTTGTTTATTTGAAGTAGAACTTGTGATTTTTTGTGTAAGATGAATACTATTGCTGCGTGATACTGATGTCATCAATAAAGGGGACATTAAACGTTGTTCCCAACTTGTATTAAATATACTTGGACTATGCTTAATTTTACCAGAAGATGTCAATGCAACTGAAGAATCATCACTGTCGACCTGAAAGCAAAAAAACTATGCGACAAAATTTTACATATGCAATAAATTATTCTTCTTATTGTAGAAGACTATGTAATGGGATTCAGATGATCGAGTTCAATAAATTTACACGACCGTGTTATAGAGGTGAAATATGTAAGAATTCTCCCCCGCTTTGCGAAGTTTCTGAAGAACAACTCATCAAAAAAGTTGAAGTCTTCAGGGTAGATAGATATTGACGAGTGGAAAAAAAATTTGATTCACTAAAAGATCTCAGAAGCTATCTTCTATGAAACACTGGAATCAAAATTGCAAAAAACGGTTTCTCCGTTTCTTCCAGATGCTATGTTCGATCAAATTGAAAACTTTTTTTTGTAACTAGTGGACATTGTTTGGAATGGGTGTCTTTTTCCTTTTGGTCTTTTGAATAACAGAGCAAAAATATCAAAGATATTCTGAAAAATGAATATGTTTTTTTTAACAGAGCGTTTCTGTAAGATCTACTAAAAACAAAAAGAATAATATTTTTTTAAACTAAGAAGAAAGTGCCTAGCCCAAGCCGCGTATAGTATACATGGGAAAAGGTTCCGTTTGGTTGGCCTCACTTGGCCAGAGAAACGGTTGAGTTTGTGCACTTTTTTCTGTGGAAAAATTGATTCGAGAAAAACGCCAGACAATGTACAATTTTTGCTATTTCCGTCAAGTGCGTTTGATTTTTTAACATTTAAGGACAACTTTTCGATCCAAAACTGTATTCAGTAGATAGATGCTAATATAGACTTTACAATGACCACACATAAACGAAAATTTTGGGTCGCGAAAGGACAGGAGAGCCATCTTAATCAGATATGATTTGAGTTGAAATCTTTAAATCTGACGATTTCTATTCTTTTATAGATTGTAATTAGTTTATCTTCACGAATTATTACAAAAATTTACTCACATGTGTTTGATATGAGATCGGAGTTTGACTGGTATATGTTCTTAAACGTTGTTTATCATTACTTTGTCTAACACTTAATGTACTCTTATTGTCTCTAACATCATTTGCAGATGGATTTTTACGAGATTGAATTGATCCACGTGATTGTTTAGTATTTATTGATTTCTTGAGTACCGATGATAAACTTTGACTATTTTTATGTGGCCTTCTATTCGATAAAGTTCGATATCCATAAGTTTCAGAAGATTGAGGTGATAGTAGTGCGCTTTTGTCACTGTTTTCTATATAGTTGTTTAATTGTTGTTGTTTTTGAAGAGTCACACGAGAAGGTGTATGTTTTGGTACATAATGATCTGCCATCGATGTTACAGGTAATTCTTCGATATGAGAAGATGATTTACGAGTTGTCATGCGTCTACTACCATCCAATACTATTAATTGATCAATTACAGCAGATTTATCAATTAATATAATATGCAAGTCTATTAATGACAGAACACACTTACCATGTATAGAACGAAGTCGACTAGGTTGATCAATATTGGAATTACCATTCGAGAGTGTTGATGATCGTTTTGAATTGACAATTGATGGCTGTTTTGATATGGTACGACTACTACTAAGTCTACTTGTAGTAGCATTTTTATCTTGAGATATTTTAGAGTTTATTGATATTCTTTCACTTTTATCATTGGAATCTGTATTAAATGGCAGAGATGATAGTGTAGTCTGTTTAAACAGATTCGCAAATAAACTACTTTTTTGTTCAGTAATTTTAAGATTCTCTTTAGGAGAAGTAATTGATATTTGTTGTACTATTGACATTCGATTGTCAGTAGAACTTGCCTTCCCTTGTCGAATACTATCGAATTCGACTTCTTCATCTAAAAGATTATTTTGTTTGTATTGTTGTTTGAATATTTTTCGAAATGCTCGTTTTTTTCGATTCAATGATTTATGTTCTCCAATACTATAACCTAAATTTCGACGGATATTTTCATCTTTTATTCCATACATCAATCCAAAATTATTATCTTTTTCGTCTGAAATTTTTATTGGTTCTAAAATTGGCCATGGTATACACATGTTGGATCCATTACATGTTAACAAGCATTCGGTGAGTAATGTTGGACTATCAACAATATGAGCAGAATTCATACAAGGATATATGTAGGATAGCGGTGTTTTCAAACTCTGAAGTTTTTAAAATAATTCTATTCAATGAAATTTCAAATGTACAAATGTTGCTAACCTACATTTGAATTGTTACTCATACTGATACAATCCGTAGAAGATTTGATGATTTTTTCTAAACGATCTAATAATTGTATAAACATGGTTGTCTGTGGATGGTTAATCATAGTTTCATTTTGTTGTTGTTCTTGGCCTAAATAATGAATGAAAGAGGCAAGTTCATGAAGAGTTAAGGAGATAGATGGAATATCCAGAATAGAAGAATTTGTCTTTTGTTCATGAATATTATTTATCTGTATTTGCAATGTTAAACGAAATTGATGGATAAATTCAGCAACATCTACCATTTTTTGAAGTTGAAATTGAGTATAAAATTGCTCAGATTGAATAATTGATGAAAGGAAAAGTAAAAATTCACCAAGAAAATCAATTAATATTTTCAAAATAATTTCTATGGATTGTTGTTGTAAGTGATGATTATCGTTACATGCCGAATTGTTATACATTTCAGTAGTAGACATACAACAATCATCCATTTGCATAGGTATCTTTTCAAATAAATTTTCAGAAAATTGTTTTCGTTCATTAGAAAAAATTAAAGACTGAGGTAATAAAGGAATTATTTCCGATTCATGGCACAATCGTCTTATTAGATTATGACGCATGATTTGTTGCACTATTTCGATTCACACATCATATTATCAATTATTTCATGAATAAACTATTGCTTTGCTTATGTTTGATTGATCATGGATATAAATTATTGACTCATTTGTGAATAATTCCTTCTTTCATTTGATTAAGATTGAAAGTTTGATATTAATAGTACATTCAACTTTGAAGCATGACTATTCAAAAGTGTTAGAATAACATTAAAAGTAAAATATAGGAAAATTATTTTTCTTACAAGATATCATCAAACAGAAAAAAAAACAGTGAAATTAATAGTGAAACTATGGTTATAATGAAAAATTGAAGTTTTTGTATATCACTTAGTGACATATCAAAACATGACAATCATTCATCTGGCTGTTGTTTTTCTTTCATTGATGTCTGGTTGACATAAAAATAAATTTGGCTCTAAGTATTGACCATTCATTGTTTCTTAATTTATCCATTTATGACTAGCTTTTCATTTGAGGAATGTTTTTGTTTTACAACTGTCTCAGTAGCACATAAAATAGCATAAAGAGAAAAAAAAAGCAAGTATTGAAGTATGAACATTTTCTTTTTCTTTACAAGAGAATTTCTTAAAATGCTGGAAATCTTTTTGACTAAGAAAATAAAGGTTCGATTATAGTCTTCTCGAGGAAACAATGGCGCATTGAACTGAAATGCTTGCTATATCTATTCGCAGTAGTAGTTTTGATCATCTAAAAGTGTCAGCTCAAAATGACAAAAAATTTCAGAAGAAACAAAATTTCCAAAATTTTCCTCTTAATTTTGTAGTTTGCCACGTTTAACTATCAGTAGTTTAATAATTCAAGCATGAATTCATTTACTTTGAAGTCACTTTGAAGTATTGTATTATTGAACACTTGAAGTTCAAACATTCACGTATTAGCTGTTCAAATATCGTGTTACTCTACGCATCAGTGTAGAGACATATCTAAAGATTGGGTAGCATCTTCAATTGTTGGAATATCCTCTGAATTATTGTTAATGTGTGTACAAACAGTGTGAAGTAACTCGCCAATGAATACTATAATACTTGAAACTTTCACTGTCCAATTATCAAAGATTTCTATGCATGAACTCAAGTTTCAATTACAACATGTGTGATCAAGATCTTTCTTGCGTTCATCTATTTCTTTGTCCGATGTATTATGGTTCAACATTGGTTCGTCCTCCTCATTATACGAAGTTCTTGTCCATATTAATTCATCTATATTGAACAATTGATCAGCCGACTCTTGTTCTCAAAATATGAACTAAGTGATAATAGAGTTAGAGCTTTCTCCGATGGTCATTCTCCGAATCATTGTGTTATTCCGTTTACTTTATCGATTGTCTATCCTTTAGACTGTGATGAATCATGTTATCTTCACATTTCCGAACGATATATTGTTTTTTCGTTTCTTTCAGGTCCACTATATCTTGACAGGTATGCCAAAACAACTGAAATCTTGAATAGATAAAAAAAACATGCCCTTCTGAATTCTTATGTGTTTATTTGATATTCATGCACATATACAAGAAAATATGAATGTCTTATTACAAAATTTTGTGTTCCAGACCGACAAAAAAAGAAGAAGAAGCAAACTAAACTTTTTACAACTAGTAATTGCTAACTACAATGCATTTGTAACTTTTATAATCCAAATATCACCCAGTGAAAAATGTTCATAGAAGAAAACTGAAATCAACGCATTCATCAAAATGTGGTAAACTATCACGTCCATGAAGAACGCGTTCTGTACTGTGGCAGATGCGGTCTAAATCGACAAGAATATGTTAATTCTTTGCCGTTCCATGCTATCATAGAATTTTGTTTTCAGATTCAAAATCGTACTTCATCTGAATAAAATACTCTGAATCGTTCCATGAAATAATGGAATGGGCTTTCTTTCATTTTTTTTTTGGAACAATCAAAATAGGTTTCTATCCAAATGAGGTTGCTTTCTTTGACGTTCTNAATTTTGTAGTTTGCCACGTTTAACTATCAGTAGTTTAATAATTCAAGCATGAATTCATTTACTTTGAAGTCACTTTGAAGTATTGTATTATTGAACACTTGAAGTTCAAACATTCACGTCTTTCATTTTTTTTTTGGAACAATCAAAATAGGTTTCTATCCAAATGAGATTGCTTTCTTTGACGTTCTCTAGAGAAATACGTAGCATAGATTCTTCGAACGCATTCAAAATGACCCAATGTCTCGAAATTGATACATAATAATGTTTCTAAATCGAAACCTCTTAGTCGTGGTATAGTATAAGGTTTCTTGAGAATTGATTTTTTAGACAGCATGGTACGGCTTACGCTCAGTTTGTTTATGATAAGAGCACCACTCGTTTGTTATTACCGTATCACATAATCATCGTGTTCTTTATTCAAATTTCATTAAACTTCTTTATACCATGTTGACTTACTCAAAACGTCGAACATCATATAGTTTGTTGGATCACAATGAGCGGTAATTTATTTCTTAATCTAACATGCTTAAAATTGATTCATTCAATGGTGCCTTAATGCATATCATATCAGTTCCAACGTCCACATTTTGTCAATCACGAGATGACAATCATCAGCACTAAGGCTACAAATTTAATCAATAGGTTTAAATAACACCTCTGTTACAGATTGGACAACCCATGCCTTCTGTTTGATATCTTCGTCATTTTCATGAAATCATTTTGACCGTTTTACAACTGTAGTGTACAGTGAAGATTGACCGTTGTAAAAAAGAATATCAGTCAATATGAACTTGCTAATCCCTTTATATTAAGTGCAATAAGTATTTTAATATGAAAACTCTAAATCTCATTATTCACATGAAGAATAGGAGTACACAGCATCCATTTCAATTTTTTTAATTAATAATGTCAATTCAAAAATGATTATAGAATAGATAAATGTAGAAGATTATTAGTACTATAATTAAGTGTTAAGAGAAATTCTCCGTCAAATTTTCTTTCTCTAGATGTAATATGGATTTCGATACATTTCATATACTCTAGATATAACTAATTTTTAGGTTTCTATATAGTTTTTAGTAAAAAATGAAAAAATTATCTCACTTGACTAACTATTGTATAATTAAAAAAAAAATTTCCTCAATATTTCCTTTTGATAAGCGGAAGGAAGAACGTGACATCTGGTTAGCTCATAACTACACATAATTAATAATAGAATGTTTTTACATACATGTGTCAGGTAATGTTGAGATTTAGACTAAATTAAACATAGTTTTTAAATGACCTTATTATAGGATAGTATAAAAAAGATGAAAACAGAGAAGTATTATGAATTTTTTATATTAACTTTATTTAATGAAAATTGTACTAAAAGTTGTAATTTATTTTAAGCATTCATATGACTAGTGTTATTAGCGAGAATAGATAATCAAAAAAAGAAAAGACTTTATAATTAATATGAAGAAAGAGAATAAATTACTGATAAGCAGATATACAATTGAAAAGTATGATTAAGTGAAATTTCAATTGACTATACAAAATTATAGAGTTCGCGAATGTTTTTGAATGAAACTCACGAGACAACTTTCCTAGGTGGTCCCTTCCGATTTCATCATTATTTGCCTGTAGATTCTATATATAGTATCCTAGTAAAAGTCCTTAAAATATTTAGTTTCTTGTCTCTTCCTTCAACAGTTATGGATATTTTTTATTTTGTCTTTATAATGTATAACATATAATATTAAAAAAAATTCGTTATTCAATCAAAGTAGAAACTAAGTCAGAAAATCGTTGTTCCGTTGTTGTTGTTTTTTTATATCTATTATATTCACTGAAACTTTAATTTTTTTATTATTTTTCCTTGTTAAGTTATAGAATATAGTTTTCTGATGGAAGACTATAGTACACTGCTTCATAAAAAGGATTCATTTCTACAATCATTGATTATATATATGTTTCTAGTAATGCCGTTTATGTTGTTGCAACGTAAATAAGATTAGGATATGAGTCTTTCTTGAAATATGAATGAAAAAGAAATTCAAAGAAAAAACATAATAACGATAGCGTTAATGATCACATATTGTACATCATGACGTCCACAGAAGATTAATGGCTATATATAGCATTGTAATCGATATGATCCGATGAGAATACTCTATTGGATGACAGGAACAAGAAGAGAGAAAGCAATAGAAAAGAAAATACTTGTGACAAGAAACATCCAACAATATGTCTTTTAGACATAATTAAAAATATTATACACATTTAACACACATGATAAAAGATGACTAATGATAGAATACATGGAAAATAGCAGTAAAAACAGGAAAGGAAAATAACAAGTGTACGGTAAGTAGAGCACTATCAGGAAATAACTTCACTTAGTAACAACATTAAAATCATTATTACAAACATATATAATCAATGATAGTGGAAATGAATCCTTTTATGTGAAGCTGTTTATTATATGGTTTTCCTTTAGAAAACGTAGTGTTGTAAATTGATGAGGAAAATAGTAAAAAATAAAAGTTTCTGTGAATATAATAGATAGAAAAAAAAACAACAGAGCAACGATTTTTTGACTTGTAATTTTCACTTTGATTGAATAACGGATTTTTTAAATAGTGTACGTTTTGCATTATAAGGACAAAATCAAAAATATCCATAACTTTTGAAGAAAGAGATAAGCAACCGAATACTTAAAGGGCCTTTCCTAGGATACTATATATAGAGTCTGCAGGCAAATAATAATCGAAATCGGAAGACAGTGCCTGGGAAGGTTTCTTCATCAGCTGAGTTTAGAAAGCTGTAGACTTCTCCAGTGTATTCTCTCATCAAAAAGAAGAAAGAATCTTTATAGCTGTTTTTTCTTATTGGAATACTTATTTTGTATCGATGTCCGTTTGTCTTTGAATTTAACGTGGTTCATACGGCATGTATGAAACATAAATAAATTATGTAGTTCAGTCTGGTTGAATTGTGATCCAGCCATAAAAGTGGAAAATTCTCTAGTTCACGTATTCCCAGTT